AAACTCTTATTAGCTTCTATACATCAATTGTAGAATAAGTGATGTCAATCAAAACTTTATTTAAAATTAATACCAATGAAATCTCTCTGCATAAGATAATAGATGTAAATGAATTGAAGAAAAAAAAAAAAGCGAAACTATTCATGTCTAGAGAGACGAGTCTCTTGAGAAAGTGCCAAACTATTCTCGTTCTTTCCAGAATAGAAAATTGTTCTAGTAATGGAAGAGTAACATGCGTCGATTCAACAGGTCAGAATTTTTTCCACATCATTTTTCTTAGCAAAAAGAAAAATAATTACTTGTCTTTCTTTCATTGTCTTACATAGTCTCGCTAGCTACGCGTTGAAGATAGACGATATATTCTTTTTTTTTTCTATTCTTAACTCATCTGAGTTTATTCTATAAGAAAAAGAAGAGTTATTTCAAGTTTGAAAATGGAAGAGACAGTTAGAATAATTACCGATGCTAATGCTCCTTCTACGACTGTTACAGAAAAGACAAAAGCAATTCAATCTGAATGTAAAATATGTGGGGTTACTGCTCTTCACAAGTATCTAGGTATTGTAGCATGTTCTCCATGCAAAATGTTTTTCAAACGAAATGCAAAGAATAAGCTGGTAAGACCAAATAAATGTCTTTTTTCTTGTTATTGTTATCTTTTTAGGTACGTCTTAAATGTGATTTTGATGGTCATTGTGAAATCAATATTCATAATCGTCATATCTGTTCTTTTTGTCGACTGAAGAAATGTTTTGCAAATGGAATGCGAACTGAATTACTTCGATCTTCATTATCGAATAAGATAAAAACAAATCGAAAGAAGAAGGAGATAGTCGAGTCAGTGGTTACAGCATCTAGTGCTTTAGTTAAAGTAGTTGCGAGAAATGAGGTACAACAGGTAAGACATTTAGTCTCGTTTATTTCTTCCTCCAAAAATTGAACGTATTTTATCAGTATCTGTGTATGATATTTATCATATGACAATCAGTAACTTTTGAAATTAAACTGACTAAATGATCAGCGCCTGCCAATAATGCTTCAGAACTTTTTCTTCATCGTTGATCTGAAACCGAATTAAGAGAGTTAGTTTACAAGTGGTAAAAAAAATCTATTGTTGCTCGTTTTCATGTACTACTGAATACGATTTAGAAAGAGTAGAGAATTCCATAAAATATTGATCGCTTTTGTGTACTCAAAAAGTGAGTACACTCTAGAATCAGTCAGTATGTCCGGCCGTTTACATGATAACTTTTGAAAGGAGAGTCCGATTGCGATGAAATTTTCTACACAGCTTAGTCTCAACAATATCTCGGTCGAGAGAAGAAGATGAGAAGGATTGGCCGAGCCGTTGCTGAGTTATTGGAAAAATAGTCATTTTTCCCTATGCCTTCCTATGCGAGAATCGACCTATCCCCGCTTTCGTAAAAAACTTTTCCTATTATAGTCAAATGAAACCCCGACTATTATATACCATTCGATAGAGAATTTCACGAGCTACAAAATGGTATATAAAACACAAAGAAATAAGAAGACTAACTCAACTATTGCAAAGATAACTAAATGGGAATTTGTTCTGTTTGTGCCCAGTCTAATTGATCCACAATTAGAGCTCTGTCTTTCGATCAAAGAGATGATAGCTCGAGGTTTTCTAGAGCGGAGAACTCGAATCTGTACTCCACCTGCCTCGAAATCCTATTGATTGAGCAGTAGCCAATAGAAATCAAGCGTATTATAGAAAAGGTTTGCCAGGATAAGTTTGGGTGTCCACACATTCTAGGATGACTCATCTGTCCCATTCACTTTTTGAAGTACACACAACTCTCGGATTTAAATCCGAAGTTTCCGCATTTATTTATAGATGAGAGCTACCAGTAAAATCCTTTCTTTAGTTTGAAAATCCTACGAGTACCTTTGTCAATCATAAATGAATTGAACCAGAAATCTAAGAATGTAAAGAAACCATTTTTTTTGAAATTTAGAAAAATAAAAGTCTGAATCAAAGAAATATTCTTTTCTAGTCTCGTTTTTGTAACTCGTTAAGAGATTGATGCTTCTAATAAATTTTTGTATTGTCGATTCTAGTTGTCAACTTTGAATTTATTACAATCAGACCAATCTACATTAAGTACCGATCAATGGAATCTTCTGTCGAATTTAGTTCATTGCTATGATGAACACAGTGGATATTCGATGGCTGTATGTTATACACGCGAGCAAAATGCTCTACCTTCTAAGGCACGTCATAAAGTAACATCGGTCAATGAAATTTTTACAAAGTTAACGACTGGAGCTCAACTATTGTTTCGAAAGAATGCCGATTTCCTCTCGCTAAGTTCACAAGATCGTTCTATTTTACTTGAAGGAAAACTCAAATATATCGGAGGTATTGGCACATGTTTTCTATTACATCAAGTTGAATTATTTGACAATCCGTCATTCTACATGGCTGCTGAGCACCTTTATGGGTCAGAATCAGTATCTGCGGGTAAAATTACCAGTGATCATCTCGACTACGATATCGTATTTGTCAAATTGGGACTTTCGATTCTTGCTTTCTCTACATTTGACTATACATTTTACACAAATACTCCTACTATCAATCTAGAGAATACTATCCCAGGCGAGCAAAGGACGGGCAAAAAGACTAGTCATTTTTCTAGTGGTGACTATACGTCATGTCTAGTCTTTTTCTCAAAAAGTCCTACTACATGACTAGTCCAAAATGGTTTGGAATATTTAACCCCGTCTGGACATCCCGTCCGAAAATAGATTTTAAATAAAAAAAAGCAGAGCGTCTGTGACGCGACATCTATTAGGTTTCAGTCTTATGTAGCGGTCTAGTTCGGACTAGTCTAAACGATAGAAATATGTGCAGAAAGTTAGATTCGTACATGCATACCTTGTGTTACTTACTCGTCCTCTACCCGATTGAGCCATATGATCTAGTGATCAACTTTTACATGTCAATACACATCTGAAGACACTAATTACTACAGTTTGACTCAGCGTTTTCTCAAGTTTTAATATTTATAGAAACTACTTGTAATAAAATCGAAAATTAGTTACATAAAGCTAAGCAAAATTAATTCAGAATTTTTTTAATTTCCTTCAACAGAATTTTTTTTTGATTATCGACATTTGGAAAACGTTATTTTCTATTGGAAAAAACAATTAAAATTTAAATCAAAATCAAAATAATAATATATATTTCAAAAAAAAATCTTGCTTTTCATCTCATGGTTTATGTTTATCTTAATTTAAAATATTTCCTATTTAAATTTGAAAATGAACTATGATTCCACCGTTTAAATCCATTTTTAAATTCAAATCATTAGGTTTTATATTGAAATGAAATAATATCCTCATATCAATGTATTAAAATTAATTTTTCGAATAAAATTATTCTTGATTGTTATTACAATTTAAAGATTTAATAGGACATAAATAGCCAACTCTCGTTAGATACATCGTTCTAGTCCCAATACAAACTAGTCTAAACGAATTGTCCGAATGATTAAGTCCAAGCAATAAAGACTGTTTGAAGGATAGACTAGCCTGGACCAGAATTGGCATTACTTTCTCGAAAACGACTAGTCATGACCAATATAGATGACTCTTCATACTAGTCCGCGTTATCTATTGAAAACAGTTTAGACTAGTCAGGTATCCAATATTGTCGGCTTGAATGTTCGAATCCACCTATCGCCTTCGTTTCTTCTAGCTTTTGCCTTCAAGTTGACGCTTCTGGACAGTATGCACATACAAAACGGACTAGCCATGACAAGATTAGAGCATGTTTTGGACTAGTCTATTTTAGATGCAAGACGTTGCTTGTGAAGACGACTAGTCCTGACTGGCTGCAAATCATTTCAAACTAGTCCAAACGGCAGTGCAGACATTTTAGACTAGTCCAGACGGGTACTACGGACAATTTAGACTAGTCATGTCGGGCGTCACCCCTTATTTTTTGCTCGCCTGGGATGACAGTGTTACACATTCAAGATATGTACATTGAACTAGCATGGCGATATTTGGTCTACAAATACGGTCACTCTTATGCTGTCATTTGTTTTTCGAATCTTATACGATGTATTATGACTGCAAATAATTCAATAAGTCAAGCGACTGAACGTAAACAGTACACAGATATGATCGATGGTATTGTTAAACAAACCAAAGATGTTCTTTGTCTCAATGATTGACTTCTTCTCTTTTCTTCTATTCTATTGTAAAATGTTCATATATCACAGTTCTTTTCAATAAATAGAACACGTATAACATAATAGTTATGAAAAATAAAAGACAAATTTCTTTCATTAATCTCAAGTTAGTTTCGCATTTTAGTTGTTTTAGAGGGAGTATTATAAAAGCCAATAAACATCAATAAAACTTTTTTTCTTCAGTCTGTTTGTGAAATTTTCTTACACAAAAATATATGATCAATATACATATAAGACGTCTCTTTTGTAACATAGAAGCGCAGAAACTAGATGAAAAGAATAATATATCCATCCAAGAGCCTTTTTCAATGGCAACTATGATCGAAATTTGAAAAACTGAAGTTTTCTTAAAAAGAGCAATGAATTCAACTTCAAAGAAAAGAACGTATTTGTGTCCTATTAATCTTGATAACGACGTCACAATAAAGAAAAGTGACAGATACTTTGAAAAGCCGGTGTGGATGTTGGTGTTTTCTTTCGCACATCCATACCCTCAAGTATGATCTCTGTTATAATGTTAATATTAAACCAAATAGAAAGAATGTTTTGTTAGCTGAATTTTTGACCTTTCTATAATCAACTGAGAGAGGTATACTCCTGATTGGACCATCGCTGTTTGAGTGGAACAATTGAGTTCAATTCTCACAATGGACTTATAAATTACAAACAATTCTTTATCCTAAAGATGTTAGTTGAATACTTTAGTCATTGATGTTTTCGATTATTGATGCAATCAAACAAATTAATATTCTATATTTTAAAATTAAAATTTATCTTATGTTAGTAATAATTATAAACAAATACATCTAATAAACACAAAAGTAACACACTAGTAAACGGTATTATATAACATACAGCATTGCTATTAACTTCTCTATCCCACCATATTTCTAGATTATTACTCATATCAATATTATTTGGTATATTAAAAAGTTGTGTTTCATAATTCAATATATTTTTGCTTATTGTATAATTGATCCAATCACGATAAACACTTACACGAGTATACACACCTAAAAAAACAACGATTGAAAATAATCTATTAAAAGTGATTATAAGTTTTTTGACTACAGAACTACATACATTATTAGATGAAGGAAGTAATTCTCAACAAGTCCACATATATTCCACTTTGTAGTCATAACCTTATAATCATCTTTAGGATTTTTTAAGCTTAACTTACCCGGTTTACGAGCTCGTGCACAACCTTCACCATAACTAGTTATTCCAACAATTTGCCATGTTTGATTATAAGTCAACATTAATGGTCCACCACTAGAAAAATATTGATTAATACAAAAAGAAAAAAATCTGTTTTATATGAAAAGAGATCTATCGCCTTGACAAGTATCCTTTCCACCTGGAATAAAACCAGCACAAAATTGTTTTTCTGGATCATATACTTGATCAGCACAATCTGATGGTCGAATATAAGATGATTGAATAGGTAATTCAACTTGTAAAAGTACATTACTAGCACGACCAAAAGAACCTTCACGTTCACGTCCCCATCCAATAGCGACTTAAAGAAATTTGTAACAAAGAAACAAAACGTAATACATATGAAAATATTACAGCATCTGTTCGATCAGATGGAAATAATTTTGGATAACGTAATGTAGGCATTGGTAGACATATAAAACCAATTGTTTTATCAGTTAAATCAACTGATCTATTTAATTGAATAAGAGCAATATCATTGATTTTGGTATTTGTATCATATTGTGGATGTATGATAATTAAATTCGCTGATACATGTAAATGACTATTTAAATATGTATTTTTTTCTGTTGAATAATGAGCACCAATTACAAAGATATATTTAGATCTAATTGCTGCAGTTGTTTTACCACCTGTCTTTTTTAATTCATCATAAAAACACTAAATAGACTAAATAAAATTTATCATCTCATGGATAGAATTATAGAAATACATGAGCAGCTGTAAGAACATATCGATCAGTAATAAGTGAACCACCTAAAAATAAACATTAAAAAATGAGAAGAATTAGAAAACTAATTAATAGATTGAAATACGCACCACAAAAAGGAGAATTTGTGGAAGCTAATCGAATACTAACAATCCATGGCCTAAAATAATATCACTATATATATATGAGAATTATTTTCGTTGAAATAATCTACCATGAATGTGGTATACTTTCAATACCACCAACAATACGAGTACGTATTACTGGTTGATAAAATGCACAACCACATTGAATTGGTTACCTATCATTATATAAACATATCTTCTGATTATTTATTCGATATATATATATATATGTTGATACCTCACCATCGACAAACGGTACTATTATTTGAATGATGAACAATCAAAAGTATAATCGATAGTAGTGCAAGACTAAACTTCATATGAGATTGTCACTGGTTTTTTTTATTATTAAACAATGACTCATCGAATGAATTGATAATGAAAAAAAATTAAAACTTGATAAGTTCTTTTTTAATGATATACCATTTTAATAACAATGAGCTAAATTCTTTCCACTAAATGATTAACTGCATCGTGAGAAAAATGTTTTAACGATAAAATTTGTATTTTTGTAACATTTAAAAAAAACATTCCAAACTAGAACGCATAAAATGCACTTGAGTAATTAATCATCTCATTCTTTTTTATTTTATTAAAAAATCAGTATTTACAGAGTTCTGTAATATGTATTAAAATATAAAGTTAAACGAACATTAATTTTCAGTTGTATGTCTAAAAACAATAACACACAAAGTATTCATTTATTCTTTACAAGTATATTAACTCTGACACGACGTTTTATATATGCTCTAGTAAAGACTAGTAAACTGTCCTGATAATATCCACCAGTTATGCTCAACTATTATTCATGTAAATAAATCATCTGTAAGTGCATGTAAACGCTTGTTGAATAATGAGATCCGTGATCGGACTCCAGTAAGTTTCATTCTAATGTAAAAAGTAACCCAACTGTGTCCTTTTAGGTATGCGCTTGAGATCCTTAATATAGAAATTAAATTTATTATTTGAATTGCTGGAAAATTCATTTGAACTTCTACAACATTGCTAGAGTTTTCACTAGGAGAGATATAGAGCTATTGATATATTTGTGTAACGTCCATCGAAAGTCTTGTATAAACTTCAAAACCTTCATTGTATTCCATTACAAATAGTACAATCGGGATATTGAAAGTGACTTAGAAAAGGCTTTTAAAGAGAATATGAGTTTATATAACTAAACGTTGAACTATATATTGACTATGACATGAACTACCATTTCTTCATGATAAGTGAAGAAGTACTATTGAAGAAACTTGCCATAGAACAACTAAAAGCAGTTACAAAAAAATTTTCTTTGCCTTCAGTGATCAACCGTACATGTTTACTTAACATTTTTTTTTGTACAGTGTACGAATTTCCATTGCAATTCTATTATCTTTGTGAACACTGCTACTTCATATTTCGTTGAAATGAGATATTGTGATATATGTCATGATTTCTTTTCTGATCTTTACTAGTGTTATACACTGGAAAATGTGATTTCGAAACAAGAAATACTAACTGTGTCTGATGTAAATAACATCAAAAAAATGTTCATTTTCATTCTCTATTTTTCATAGATCGGTGAAGATTTTACAAAAAAATTTTAAGTGTGCTCTAGATTCAACACATTTTATCGCCTATATTGTTGACACACAATTTCATGAACTTATTTGGTTATTTATTCATTGTACGAATAAATTCGAATTAGATTGACAAAAAATTACATAATATATCTCACTATTGAGAATAATTTTATAACAGAATCTATAGATTAGATTGTTCAAACAGTTTTATTGATAGTAATCATTAAAGGAGAGAATTATGTAGATATTTTTTTAATCAATTTGATTTTATTTAGACTAACGAGGGAACATATTCAACTGTCGGACGCCGTTCGAGCTCATATTTTGGCTACTAGTAGGACTCAGTGAGACTAAGAAAACCCTAAAAGGGTTCGTGCCCATGACGTGTTCCTGACGAGATATCAAGTTTTTAGTGAATTTTCTCTGTAGCACCTCACTTTTGCAGCAAAGCTATACTTTCGAATTCTGACTTGAAACTTTGCCTACATAAAAGCCTCAGCTAGACTAGCTTACATAAAAAATTTCAGAAGTTTTGAACAAAGTCTCTTCGAGATACCAAGTTTTCAAAAAATGTAGACTATATATAGTATCTATGAAAAAGGGTCTGTGTCTTGATAGTTCGGTATCTCCGAAAGACTTTGTTCAAAACTTCTGAAATTTTTTATGCAAGCTAGTCTAGCTGAAGCCTTTATGTAGGCAAAGTTTCAAGTTAAAATTCGAAAGTATAGCTTTGCTGCAAAAGTGAGATACTACAGAGAAAATTCACTAAACGGACTACTTTTTAGTATGGACAAAAGTATTTTTCGATTTGATAAATTGAGAGACTATCAACATATCCGCAAATATTTAAATATCTCTTGACTAGTTATTTATTGTGACTGGTTTTTTTTCTTTGAGCAAGAAAAGTAAATATTGAATATATGTGAATAAGAAACGAGAATATCATTAAATTGTTCTTTTAGTTGAATTGAGAACGGTTGAAATTAAATATTGACTGTTTAAATTGAGTCGGAAGAAGACATGTTTTTAAAATAATATCATAGTTAGAATGAAGCAATATGAAATGAGAATATTAAAAGAATAAAACAAAAAGATAAATAAATAAATGTTGTACATAGCATATTTGCTGTTCTTTTATTTTTTTAATAGCAATGACTGGTTTTGAAGTGATTAGTGTCTTTCTTGTAGAAAAATGTATATATCGGAGTTAACTATAAAATTTAGTTGACTTTTTAATTTTAGAAGCAACTAATGTCCATTTCAAAAAAGAAGGCGAGTGAGTATTTTTTGAATGAATTGATCTAGAGAACTACGGTTTTCACTATTGAAAAGAGAAGATGAAGACGCGTCGTACCATATATGAAAAAGTTTTTCTAATTATTTTCCTAAGAGTTTTATATAAAGCTTCTAGAAAAACAGCATACCTCTCATGATCGCGATATTAATTTATTGATTTTCATGAATGTGCTAGAACCGCCAAATGAAACATCCTATTTTTTTTCAACAAAATAATCGAAAAATGGAAATTTTTGTAGTATTTTGATGAAAAATCGCTTTGTTTTTAACGTATGAGAAAAAAGCAATTTTTTGAAAATATTTTACTAAAACTCTTAGGATAGTAGTTAGAAAAATCTTTTCATATATGATTTGATACGTTTTCATCTCCTCTTTCCAATGGTGGAAACCACAGCTTTCTAGATCAATTCATTCAAAAAAATATCCACCCATCTTCTTTTTTGAAATGGATATTAGTTGCTTCTAAAATTGAAAAGGCAACTAAATTAATGATAATCGTAAAAGCTCTCAATTTCAACTTTGTTCCCAGTAAAAAATATACCTAAGAAAATGAGAATTAGTTTTTTATTACTCATTAACAAATCTCATTTTTCCTATGAGACTTCTTTTACATTTTGCATGATAATCCGATTAAAATCAATTGAAAAAAATAATCTGCCACCATCTCGATTATTCTTAGCCATAATTTGATTTTAATCTATTTAATTGATTTTGAAGAATATCAGTAAAGCCTATACAAAATCATATGTTTTGTACTACTACGAGGCATTTTGATCAGAGTATTAATTGCTATTCTTATTTGATCATAAGAGCTTGTTTTTTTTCGTTGGTATATTTGCACTCTGTGACGTCGCTAACGAAAAATAAATCGATTTTTTTGAAAAATCCAGATATGTTCAGAAAAACTTTGGATAAAGATTTTGTAACACTATGAGTTGTTTATATCAAAGATGGACAAATCGTGGTGACGGAGCACCGCGAGATTTGTCGGTTTTCACACCCTGTGATAAAACAATTCTTTCTTTTAAATCAATGATCAAACCATTATAAACTTATCAATACTGTATGCACAATATGAAAAAAGTACTGATATGAGCAATACTCTATAGGGTATGAGTGTGGATGTAGGTTTCTTCTCTTTTCATAAAAGAATTCAACAATAATGATTGTTAATAAACATTTGATAAATGAAACGATGTTGTTTTTTTATCTTGAAGTTTGTTTGAATATTTTTGATTATTGAACATTCAAAATTTACCGATAAGAATAAAGTATATTAAAATATTAATCATGCATGAAAATTTCATTCCTTTTTTTTTTATTAATGAATGTGAACGTGCTCAAAGTTTTGTAACATTGTTTTCTTTGCAAATATTTGCATGAAGAAATAATGCATGATGTTAGTTTTTCTTTCAGAAGATGCAGAATTTAATTCTCTATAAAACTCGTATTAGATTAAATATTAAAAAAATTGAAGCAAAGACAATTTTTCTTACAGATTGCCTTAAGTGATTCATGTTCTTGTGTTCTCAACACAGCATGTTGACTACTTAGAAGAATCTGTATTAGCAAATATCATATTATGCGTGATCGAAAGAACATTTTCAAGGTTGTCTGTTAATGGATTTTATTTTAAAAACTAAATATTCCTTGACAAATCGATAAATTGTGTATGAAATAGATGTCATTCACTGAATCACTTGATACAATGTACAAAAACTTGCTTATAGGAAACTACCCTAAATGACATGTGCCATTTGAGCTCAAATTGAAATCACAGATAGGTCTTAGTCAGACTAGCAAAAGCCCAAAAAGGATTCGTCGCCATGGACCTTTGTTGTCGAGTTATGATTGGTTTAATGGATTTTTTTATGCATTTGTAGGCAGTCTCTAAAAATCAAATAACAGAATTCTGATCTGAAATTTGGTCGATCGATAGGTCTAATGACTCTTAGAATATCTCGAAAGTTTCAGCCGAAAAATATATTCTTTCGCCAAGAGGTTGAATTCCCAAAAATAGTCGTTGTGTCGCAGCATTGTTTTCGACTGAAACTTTCAAGATATTCTAAGAATCATTAGACCTATCTCTAAACAGAATTTTAGATGAAAATCATCATTTGATCTTCCAGGAAGTACCTAAGAAAAGGTTAAAAATCTAATAAATTGAAACGAAAGCCTTTTAAACTTGATAGTTCCATTGTTTTAAATTAAACTTAATAAGATTTTTATAGAGATTTAAATTTTGTATCATCTAACAGAAAAATCATGATAATGTGTGATATTTCTTCATTCGAATATTTTCAAAAAAAAAAAAAATTATTTAACATTTGTCACGCCCTGTATATTTTTATCAAAATAATTAAATATTCATCATTAATAAACACATGCTACAACAAATAAATATGATAAAAATACAAAAGCAGTGAATACCACATATATATATATATATATATCACGCAAATACATAAATTTGTGTCAGAACATTTTCTAATATTGTCAAATTAATATTAATAAAATAAAAACAAACTACGCAAACATGCAAACATTCTCAAAAAGCAAACAAAAAGAAGAAAAAAAATAATCACCGATTAAGAAATACAGTTCAATGATGATAACGAACGAGTAATGCATTCATTCTTATGTGCAATAATTATAATTGATGATAAACTACATGCACGATTTCGACCTTGTAATTTTTGTATAGGAATAGTTATTGATTTATTTGGAAATATAATTTGATTATTTAATGGTATGGAAATCGATAATGATCGTTCATGAAGACGATAACGTAATGTTTCATTTTCAAATTTTAATTGACAATTATCTCGTTCAAGTTGAATTACTTGTTCTTTTAATTCATTTCGTTCAGCTAAAGCAGATCTAAAAAAAAATATAATAAATCAATAAAAAAAGCAATGATTCAATATCAGCTTGCAAATTAGATATTTATTCTTATAGATGGTGAAAAGAATATTCATCTATAAGTAATAGTTTAAAATCAAATTTGAACTTTTTGAATTTCAGTGATAAATAAATGGATAATCAAAAGCTTAATGATAATTTATATATGTAAAAAAAAAACTATAGAAGCAATATGTACTTAGGAAAATACACATAAATAAATATTCTGATGTGTAGATTGAAGATGAACTTTAAAGAAAGAAGAATTCATAAGTGTTAAAATAATATTTAATTTTATATGAATTATAATTAGATTTTCAATAATTGAATAAATCAAAAATTTAGTAAATAAGAAGAAAAAAAATATATATTTATTTACTTTTCACTTAATTTTTTATGTTGAAGAAGATATTCAAGATTTTGATTTTTATTTTCAACCATATCAACACGTTTTCGTAATGCTTGTTCATCATGAAGCTAAAATAAATAGACAAAAAGAACTTACGTTTTAAATAAATTCTTGATTTTCATACTCGAATTTCTTGTTCATTAAGTTTCGTTCGTAATTGTGTAATTTCTTTAGTTTTAAGTTCAAGTACAGTTTGTAAACTTGTTCGATCTTTTTCTAATGTTTCAACATGACATAATAAAACATCGGCATGTTCACTATTAGCCATTTCAGTTAAAAAACTATCAACTTTTTCTTGTAATAATGAACAACAAGATTCTAATTCATTTTTTTCATGCTAAAAAGATATGTTTTTTGAAGAAAAAAAAACACCGTATGTAAAAATGAAATTTTAAACAATATTTACTAATAAATGATTCATTTTTTGTTTATATTCATTTAATTTTTGTTCATGTGTTTTATTTAATGTTTCAATTTGACTATGATAACGTTTATCTAATACAGATAATTCATTTTTATGATATGTTTGTAAATGTTCAATGGATATCTATAAGATAAATCAATCATATTGTTTTTATTTTTTTTTTTTTTTTGTTATTATAGAAATATTTTTATTTACTTCTAATTGATCTTTTGTTGTTCGAGCTAATAATAAGAAAATATTCATTATATAATCATTCAAAAAAGAAACACTAACAAAAGAATTTTATTAAGTAACAAAAATTACTTTTGAAATGAATCACTTCTCATTGAATAAACTCTATTGAAACTAGAGAAAGTCAAAAAAAGAAAAGATTCATATTCATAAGTCTTCTTTAGAACACTTTCAAATATTGATTATCGAATTCACACTCATGATCGAATAGTATCTCAATAATGATACAAAAATTTTGTATTCATTTTATTTTAATTATAGTAGCAAAAAACAAAATGCTTACCGAAGAGAGTGAAAAGTGCCTTTTAACTTCACACAAAAATCAATTATAAAAAGTGCATTTGATCGATTAGTGTCTTGCACTTAACTTTCGAAATTTTTACGCATGTTAAGTGTGACTGTAATCAATGCAATACATGTTTTCTAATAATATCAAAATATGTGAGTTACAAAATCACAGATTCCATAGGCAATAATTTTATTAAAAATTTGATTTTCCGTCTGCAACATTCAATGAAGTTTTTTTTTATAGTGTGCTTTTGTAGAGAGATCATCCAAGTTTTAGGAAAAAATATCAATACCCTATCGTAGTGCTATAAAAATCCGAAAAATAAGATGAACTTTGTTTTTTTTAATAGATGGAAATTTTCTTCTAAATTCCGAAAGCGTCCAGAAAAATTTTTCAGCCTTCAATAAATATTTTTACATAGCTTTGCTTTTTCTAACAAAAAAAATACTGACGAGCTTCCATCACGAGTTGTTGTTGCATTATACTAAAAATAAAATTAATGCAAAACTTTTGCATACCATCTGTTATTTCATGATAAGATGATATTAGGAAATGTGGTACTTTTATAATAAGAATTTAAAAAGCTGCAATTTAAACGAACAGTTATTAAAATAATTAGGCTTGTTAATATATTTAAAAAAAAAACAGTAATTTAAATTTGTTATAGAGTGTGATTCACTTTTTTTTTTCTTTCCTTCTACTATGATGTACAGACGGATGTGAATAAACTGAAGACTCACACTCATACCCTTTGATATTTGATGCATGAAAATTCAGATTTGACAACATCAAAATGCAACTATTCAACTTTTTTTCTAAGAATTATATATGCAAACACATTGATGGTCTGGCTATTTGTTTGAAATATTTCAAACTACCAGCAGCAAAAAATAGTACTGCTGAGTGAGAAAAGAAAAATAAGTTGATTAACAAAGGCTAAAACTTGCTTTGCTAGTTTTTTTTGGCTTTCTCTAATCTCAATAGAGTTTATCTGATGAGTTAAAATTTCATTTCAAAACATTGATTTATCATTTGGCAAGAATTTCTTATATGAAAGAAAAAAAAAACAAAAAATTGAAATATACCTTTCGATAGTTGAATTTCATGTTGTTCTTTAATTTGTTCATTCTTATAATGAAAAATAAATAAATGAAGATTATTTTTTTGTTGAAAATATTTTCTTACTTCATTAATATAATATTGACTTAAAATATGCATAAGATCAAATTGATTGAGTAGATGTTCATAGTATTTTTTTAAATGTTGATTAGTAATTTCCAGAGATTGATTAAGACTTTTTTGACTAAATAAAATATTTTATAAAAAAAAGAATTTTAAATTCTAAATTTACATTGCCATTTGTTGATTAAGTGTATTCAATTGATCACGAGATTGATCGATTTGTTTTTCTACATCGAACAAAAAAACAATTTTTTTGTTTTTTGGAATCAAATTAAAAATATACTTACCTAGATTAATTGAAGGAATGCCACTTGATTGAAAAATATTTTGATTTGTATCTGATGTTTTTTTTATATTTGAATTTTTATTTATCGATCCTAAATCTGACTGACTACTGTTCAATGAATTACATGATGAAAGTGATAGACTATGTTCTAAATATATAATACAAAATTGTATAATAAAAAGAAAAAGATTTTTTAATAAAAAAAAAAATTTTGACTCGATTGTGATGATGATAGTGAAGTCACCGATTGTGCAGCATTGAGTGGAATTTTAGATGGTGGTCCTTTTTTTGGTAGTATGATTGATGACTTTCGAGGTATTGTAGAAATAATTGGTCGTTTTGTTGTATTAGATAATGGTGGAATGGATCGTTGTTCGACATCTTACAAAATGTAAATTTGTATCTATTTATTTTTTTTTCTCTGTTTACTTTTTTTAATCGATTGAATAATTGGTTTTTTCTTATTAATAATTGTTTGTTCATCTTTTTTCTTAATTTCTAATTTATTAATTGATGTTGATAAATTTAAAATAGATTTTTGTTTTTTTATTAATTCATTTTTTGTAAATGAAATATTATCATTGAAATGAAATGATAAATCTGTTTGAACAAATTTTGTTGATTCAATTGAAATACAAATAGAAGATGATGGTGATGATGAATGACAAGTTGTATCTATTTTTTCATTAATTGTAGATTCAATAATACTTTCATTATCTAATTCATCATCATCATCATCTTCAGTATCTTCTTCACTAATTATTATTGAAGAAGAACGTGTTTCAATTGGTTGTTCTTGTTGTAGTTGATGTAATATTAATGATACACTATCAGTAAAATCAGCTTCTATTGTTTCTGAAGCTACATAAAAAAAAAAGCTGTTAGTACAATCTCTATGGAATTAATATGTGAAACACGATGTAGCTGCTGTTATTAACCATAGGGAGATTGTTTTATGCTATCGATTTTGTGACACATTTCTTTACCATCATTTTATGTATCTTCCCGAAATGCAATGAGGGAGTAGTTCATATATTATAATCAGACGCGAATGACATACTGTCTTTGATCATCTATCACGGTCTATAGGAAGTTGAAATTTCTATCCCTATGCTTCAACATACTTTTTTTAGATCGTGTTTCACGAAATAAAAAAAATTAATAAATATTAAAACATACGTTCATCGGTTGTTAGTGGTTGAAATTCAAGTTTAGATTCAATAACATCGATCGTCTGTTCTTTTGGTTGTTCGATTGGTATGATAATTTCCTAGAGTTTTTTTATAAATTAATTTATGCAAAAAAATTCTATTAAATATATATATTTTTTTTTGCTTAAAATATTCACATGATGATCATTGACAATTGAATTATTGAGTATCACCGGTTGAGAAGTTGTATTTGCTAAAAGATCAGGTAATTCAACAGATTTCGATTGTTCAATTTTATTAATTTCTGATGAATGTGTCATTGAACGTGTCATTGTTGGAGGCTTCAAACGGCTTATTGGTCTTTGTGATAACTAAAAAAAAGAAAATTTTTTTTTTTTTTTGATTTAATCAGATCATTATTTTTCTTTTATAATAGACAAAAAAAAACAAACAACTTACTGATGTTCGTAATCGAGGTGCTAAAACAACTTTATCACAAGGTACAAATATTCCATGATTTGGTGGACATTGAAAATATCTTTACAAAAAATAAAATAAAATAAATACTTATAATTTTTTTTTTTGTTTTTTGTATACCGAACATCTTTTATTTGTCCATCATGTTTTCCATCTGGTTGATCAAGTTCAACACCACAAAATTGTCCATCTGCAAATTTTACTGTACCTATATAACGAAGAATACCACTTTTAAGTCCATTTACTAAAACACGATTGCCAACAGTTAATGATGATTTACTAGAAAATGAATAATTTATATATATATATGTACATGTAAAATATTAACTAACGGATTATTTTCACAAACTGATGGCATCGGTATTGTAGGACGAGGAGCAACTACACAAGGTGCTGGTAACCGTAAAGGTAATAATGATTTACGTTCAGGTGCAACCTACAACAAAAAAAATCGAATCGATTACGTAGAAAAAGACGTTTCTATATTCTTCACATCCAAACACATTAATCTATTCTTTAGTGTAAAAGAAGAAAGGTGACCAACGATCAATACATATATACTACTGTTCTCTTTCCCGTTGGCATGAACATTAACAGAAAGAAAGAACATCGCATACTATGAATTTAATGTACATAGACACACATACACAACATGTACTCTTTTTTTTTTCTTCTTTTCTCTGATGTTTCCGCTGTTAGTAATTGTTCATTATTAAATATTATTTCATATAAAGAAATAAATTAGTTATCAACCAAGCATAAAGAAGAAGAAGCGTTATCTGTAGTTAAGATATATTGAGCAAGAAATTCTTATCTTACTGGAACACTCATGTGTTTGATTATATATATATTAAAACTGGTATAATAAAATAAATGTTTATTCAAAACACATTTTGATCACCGGAAAGAAAGAGACCTTGTAAGACATCTTACGAACTGAATTTTATGTGCAGAACACTTAATGTGATTGACATTTCTTCTTGAAATCAACAGGATTCCATTGGAGAAATATATGAAAACCAATCAAGAAACACTTTCGAAAGAGAGCGCACTTGTGCATAACTACTTTTTTTTTTTTTTGTATGATCTTTAATTTATCTCTAAAATAAATTCATAATAATACAAAATCAATGAAAAATGAAAAATTATTTCAAAAGATAATATTCTACTAAAAAATCTTAAAGGTACTCCTTCTCTCTTTTACAATCAATCAAGCTAAAATTTTTGCCACAGATAAAACATCAGCAGTAAGGAGATACGGGATTTGAGGAAAAATAAAATTTTGAAGTCAATTTTTTCTGGGAAATTTTGGCTTTTCACATGATCGTATCAAAATTTATTCGATTGGACTGAAAATTTTTGTTTTTTTGAGATATCTCAGAGGTAATTTTTCAGATTTTCCTAAAATCTCGCTTTCTTTCTTTTTTTGTGAAAGAAATATGAAAAGGTTCAAAGCCAAAACCGAGGTGTTCGCTTTGAGAACCCTATAAATCCGAATAGGAAAGTTAAAAATGAAACTTTCAAGTATCTGTGATCAAAATTTCAGCCCAATCAAACGAAGTTAAAGGAAGATCGTAAGCAGACAGGATTGAGATAACGATGGATCGCAGCGTCTTGACTTTTCTCAGCGAAAAAATTTTTCAAATAGGGCGTCCCCCACAGGAAAAATCAGGACGCTGCGATCCGTGGATAACTGATATTTTGTGTTACGCTAAGTAAAAGAAAAGAATTTCCTTGATTCAATAATTCTACCACATCCTAAGCTGTTTAAAGTCGAATGATATCTGTAATTTCACACCGCACTTGAGGCTATCATACCTTATGTCCAGCTTGAAATCAAGATTTTGTTTTAAGAAAAAAAAGAGACTAATATAGCTTCGAAGTGTCCTCTGTCAAATACCATGTAGATGAATATTCTTTCTAGGCCAAATTCTCTTAATGATAATTTCTTTTTCTCAAAATCGATTTTTGAACAAAAAAAAAGAAGTTTTACTTGTTTTTCTCTCGCTCGCTACGTCCGATTGGGCTCGAGTTTTCTTTTATAAATACTTTACTTAAATTAGGATGCGTGTTTCTTTTTCAAAATTTTCTTTCTACGAAATTCGGTGGCCTTTAAATAATTAGTACCATTGAACGAAAAAAAAAATACGCACTCTGATTTATCATAAAGAGAATTGTAATTCGAAAAAATAAAGTATAGAGTTTTACGGGAAGGAGAAAGAGATCTTCTGATCATTGTTGATTTTTATAACCTTTTTGAGAATTTTTTCTCTATCTATTAAGATCTATCTGCCTTGAAAGTTTCATAATTTTCTGTTGTGCCGTTCTCTAGAAACTCGAGAAAGAGAGATAAGGTAAATATACGGATTTCAATACTAACAATTAAATGCACAAATAATTTTTTTTTTCTTTTGTTCGATCATTTGCTCAATAATCATATTGTTTCTCTAGATTTATTTATGATATTCAATCATTTGATTTAAATTAGAAAAGATATCATATTTCCAAAGACATTTTTTACATATTCAAAATTCGATTTAGATTAAATCATAATTGAGAATATATTTATTGAAATGATACAAATTTTTTATCGATTATTTATGATAGATAAATTATTTTTGATATTTATTTTATTGATAAATCTCTTCTAATTGAAAAAAAAAAATGTCAATGACATAAAATATATCAACTAAAATATACTTCATCAAATTTTATTGCTATTTACATGTAATGATAAATAAAAAAATAATCGAACAATTGATTATATTATTTTGCAGATATTTATATATTTTTTTTGGGTTCTATTCTTATTTCAACAATAAAAATTTTGTCCGTATAATTAAATTCTAACTTCTTTTTTGTTTTACGTTTATGAAAAAAAATGAAAATCATTTTTCTTACATAAGAATATCTTTCTCGACCTTCATATCATTATTGATAACAACAGCATAAATATTCACATCCACTTCGGCTAAAATTACAAAAACACTATACATAACTAATATTTACATATGAGAAATATTATAGTTGAAGAAAAAACAAAAAGGAAATCATTTTCTTTTGAATTAAAGCAATTTTTTTTTTCTACATTTGGAAAAACTAGTCATTAAACAGATGCAGCTATTACTAAAAATTGATTAAATTTTAATATGTTTTCTATGTTTATCACACGAATGAATACGTGTTTTTATATAATGAGACTGAAACAGAAGATAGAATTTTTTATTTTATTTTTGCAGATATGAAAAAAATCTTTTTTTTTTGTTTTTGTTTTATTCATACTATGTTATCAATAGCAAACAACGGATTATGAATAAGTTTGTTGCTTTATTTCACTGACGTATGAAGATTTCCTCGTTTCGAGATGATGAGTTATTTATGTTCACATACGTAACATTTGATATGTTTCTATGTAGGCGAATAACAAGTAGGTATTTACATATATGAGTGTGTTGTTCTCATATTTTTTGTTAGTGACACGATTGTCTCTTTTTGCTTGAAACCATTTTGGTAGTTAACGACAAATTTTGATTTTAACAAAAGTAATATGATATTCTTCTGTAGAACGAATATATTTTGTAGCACGTAGTTGACTAATTTTAATCTCGTAGAGAGAGAGAGAGAGAAAAAAAAGTTAAAGCAATATAAAAAGTAGAAGTAAAGAAGTTTAACTTCATTTATATTTCTTTTGTATGAAAGTACATATAAACTGGATTAAGATGTATTGATTTTATTTTTCTTCAGATTGAAATCTTATTATTTTCTATTTTTCTTCGACAATCATAAGCAATGTTGTCCTTAGATTATCTATGTCTGTTTGGTAATATTTTACTTATTTGTATCTCATTAACTAAGACCGGTAAGTTTAATTAATTCAAATTTTATTTTACTATCAATTTTAAAAAAATCAAGTTTCTTTGGATGGTATCTGTACGAATACTAATGAATGTACTGATATTGGTCCGATTTGTCGTAATGGAAGATGTCAATGTGATACACCTTGGTATACACCATGTGGTACAAAATGTGGTAAGTATTTAATTATTTTAAATACAATCATAAATAATAATTCTATTGTATTCATGGAATATCAAAGATATAAAAGCCGTATTTGTCTACGAAGGAGAAGAGTGTCGAATTAATGACAATTGTATTCCTAATGCTGTATGTGCTGACGTTGAAAAACGATGTCGATGTCAATCAAGTTATACAGCTTTAAATGGACTATGTTGTAAGTATACAATAATTTAGTATAGTCTGTATGAAACAGAAAAGAGATTTAGATTTCTAGAAAAAAGAAAATATTTTCTTCATTATTATTTGTTAGAAGTATATAAAATAGTATCTATCAAATCAATAAATATAATCTGATATCTTCAATATTTAATTTATTTTCTATGTAGATAAAAGTTTAAATACATCATGTTCAACTCCAAGTGAATGTTGGTCTCGAGATTGTCGTGATGGATTATGTAAATGTCGTCTTGGCTTTGTACCAAGAGGAGATAATAACCGATGTCGTATGTTTTTTTTTGTTTGATTAAATATTTGATTAAGAAAAAATTTATTTCTCTAGAAAGAAAACTTGCTAGAATCTATTCGAATTGGGCTGAAGCTAATGCATCAAATGATTTTTGTTATGAATTAAATGAAAATCCTTGTATTGATATTCATGCAATTTGTCAAAATGATGGTCAACATGTGGAAAAATTTTGTCAATGTCCATTAAATTATACTGCTAATTATCAAAATCAAGAATGTCGTAAGTAGAAAAAAATAAATGTATAAATTTTCAAAAGATACAAATTATATATTATTTTTTAAGAATTAAAACAATATAGTGGATCATTATCACCTTCAACTACATCATTGCCAAATGATGATTGTGGTACATGTAGAGATGAACTTGCTGTATGTGTTCATGTTGGTAATCAAACAACATGTTGGTGTCAAGCTGGTCTTATTAATACGAATGATAGATGTGGTATGTAAAATATAATTTAAAAAAAAAAAAAAAGACTTTTTTTTGTAAAACTTTGTGCTTTGTTTTCTAGAAAGATATCATTTGAATTTTGTTTTTCCAAACGAATACGATATAAATCAACATCAATATACTCTTAATTGTTCAAGTTATGATAATGATACAAAAATTGTACAGAATGGTTTATGTATATGCAAACCTGGCTATAAATTTGTTGATGCAAGATCACCTTGTCGTAAGATTAATTTTCATAAATTAATTATTCAATATATATATATATATATATATTAATTCTAGAACGTATTATACCAATATGGGAAAATGATAATTTTGAGTATGGTGTATGTACACGTATAGATTCAAATGGTCAACATATACCAGAAAATGGTTTATGTCCTTGGCCATTAACTTGTCAACCACGACAAGATAAATATGTGTGTTCATGTGATCATAATAAATATTTAGATGAAAATAATAATACTTGTTGTAAGTATTTAAACATGATAAAATTAAAACGAAAAAAAACAACAACAAATAATTCTTTTCTTTGTCAAGATTATTTCTTGGAAAGAGATTTGACGAATCCGAACGATAAAAATTGTCCACCAGGGGCAACCCTTGATAATGGACAATGTCGATGTTTACCGATTGGTAAATATACGGTATCCAGCGATAAGAAACGATGTGGTATATATATATATATATATTTAATAAAAATTCATATTTATTTTTTTTTTAATATTTCTTTATCTTATTTAGAACTTACGTTAGCTTCTAGAGACATTGACTCGGGATGTATTAGCAATGGAGGATTTGACGATGACTGTAAGAGATTATATGGTACCAATACAAAATTTTGTAAAGCAGGAGAATGTCAATGTATACCTGATCAATCATACTACGACAATGGCAGATGTGGTATGTTAAACATATTCGAAAACAAATAAGAATCACATATAACAATAAAATATTCATATAGATTTTCATATCTTTCTATGTCGAAAAACAACAGAACATATATCAAACTATTTTTAATTGAAACAAAATTTCGTTATCATGCTTGTTTTTAATGATGTTTTTTGTATAACGAATGATTGGTTTCTTGCGTAAGTTCTTTGGAAGACATATTCTTAGCTTTAAAAAACTCGAAATCAGCTAAACAATATTCAGAGCAATTCATAGCACTGAGTTTCATTTTCAGTTTTATAGCAATCTAAGATTAGAATAGTAAGACTCTGAAAATCTTGATTCATCAAAGATCAGAACTTGAATGTTGCTGCTGGACATTTCAAACTCGGATTACTGTAAGAATAATATCTGACATCACAATAAGACTCAGTGCAACGAATCGCTCTGTTTAGACTTACTTTTCAATTTTCTGAAAAATTGTCTGATCGATTTCGAGTTTCTCAGGTATGAGAATATATCTTTCGAAGAACTTACACTAGAAGCCGATTATTCGTTATACAAAACAAAAAAAACATCATTAAGAACAAGCATGATAACGAAATTTTATTTCAATGATAATCGAGTTTATGAAATATTCTGACTGAAACTTTAAGAATAACAATAAGTGTATCTCTGGAATAGATTCTAGATCAAACGACACCAATGCAAAGAATTAATCGAAAAAAAAAATTAGACTTTCCATTTAGTTTGATCAATGGGTTATATATACGATAGTAACCAGTCTAGCTGGATACTTCAATTCTTTTATTGTTTAGCTTCTATAGTACAAAAAAAATGATGTATTACTCTTTAAGTTATATATCTTGTCTGAAAGCAAAATAATCAAACATCTTCGTAGAATTCTTCAGTGACATATTACACCGTTATTAAACTTCAGTTACTCCAAAAAAAAGAAATTTCGTAGAGGTGAATTAACTGCTGAAATGAAAAATTTCAATCGCTTTATTTGTAATGTAAGAGTAGCTAGTGAAAATATTAACTCTTTTAACAAGCGATAGGACATATTTATCCCATTTTTTTGTTTCTGATCGCAGAATTATAATAAACTTGAATCAATGACTCTTGTAGAAAGAAGGATAATGCTACATACATGGAATTAAATTTCGGGTGATTCAAGTTCAAGTAATAATATTTATCTGTTGCTTCAACAGGGAGTTTTAAATTTGAGTTATACTTGCACTGTTCTTTCTGTACCAGTAGTCTCGTTGCTTATTTTATATAGCTCATAGTTGTTGCACGTTTTAAGCAAAACAGAAGAAAAAGTCAACACTACTGATATTACACATGCAGTGTTTTAGTATTGTTGAACTGACACTCGTACATGGTAATCTAGATCACATTTCATCTGACTGTGTCATCGACATGAACAGAACTTGACCATCTGAAATTTAACCGTTAAAGAGTTGAATTTTAAAAAATACGAACTGAACCGATTTCTAATTCGAATAATAATTTATTCAGTGTAAAAACAATCTTTTTTTTTCTAGTTACATATCTCAGCGCTAATCCTGGAAATAATGGTTCTTGTCCAATCAACACAAAAAACAATGATAATCCATGTACATGTAAAGATGGATATCGAGCTGAGAGTAACAATCGTACTTGTCGTAAGATAATATATGATTGTCTTTTGACAGAATATATTAAGAAAATTTTTCTGTTCAGAACGAAAATCTAATTATCTATATGAATTAACAAATATTCCATCACAAGGTATTTATTCTGACGTAACAATAGACGATTGCAAAGCATTGTATCTTAATGCACATCTCATTGTTCGTAACAATGCATGTATATGCGAGAATGGTACATTTTCAAATGGTACAACATGCGGTACGTTATAAAAAAATATTTCATTATTCATGATTTTAAATGTCTTGGTATTTAATATTTATAGTTTTCTATCTATCGTATACTCCTCTTCCTACAAACGGCCCCAGTTTACACTGTCCGCCGCTTGCTCTTCCTTCTTCCGGAACATGTACATGTCTAAGTGGCTACAAAAATGCCGGTAATAACCGTAATTGTGGTAAGTAAATATTGTATATCGACGATACCTAAACGTTTCAATTGATAAGGAACTTATATTATAATCTTTATTAATCAATTTCTACTCAATATATGTGCTCAACTAAAAATACTTTAACAGGTTATCGAGTTGATACCTGAAAATAGTTCGAATTGAAACATAAAAACAAAACGATATTGGAAAGTTTAACTAAAATTTTAGTCGATCAGTGATTACAATCGAATAATGAGTGATTTAGTTCTTTTTTTTTTACTTTTATATTTCTCTCTGATATTACTGTAAGATTCACTTAGTTCTTAATACTTAGGTCATTCCAAAAGTAGTGGCAGAGGTATATCAATTCCTTATAGAAAGCTCGGCGAAACCTTTTTTCTATACAGTCTTCAAGAGAAAACAAAGGTCTATTTTTCTATGCTATTTGATCATACTTTAACTAATGTCATGATAATAAATTTTTTTCGTTAACATGTTTGCTCGTTGTAAGTTGTACATCACAGTTTTCAATTCCTTATTAGTTATATTAACAACCAAAATATGCCATAAGATGAAGCGTGAAAAACTCTACAATTTTCATAAGACCACTTTTTGTTCTTAAAATAGACTAAATTTTGAGCGATCAAATTTCGAGCATGGAAAAAGATAATGTTTTTGATACACGACAAATTCATTTCTTGTTATCTGATCATTATATCAACTGATATGCTTTATCAAAAGAAAAACAAAATACACCAGAAGATACAGTATGAAAAGCTCTACAATCTACATCATAAAGTTTATTGTAATTGTTTTGAAAAAAAAAGGAAAATTCTACGCGATCAGTTTTTACAATGGCCAAAGTTCGATCACTCAAAACTTTGTCCATTTTTTAAACAAAAAGTGCAACTAAAAAATAAGTGGTCTTATGGAAATTGTAGAGTTTTTCACGCTGCACCTTATGGCATATTTTGGTTGTTAATACAACTAATAAGGAATTGAAAACTGCAATGTACAACTTACAACGAGCAAACATGTTGACGAAAAAAATTTATTATCATGACATTAGTTAAAGTATGATCAAATAGCATAGAAAAATAGACCTTTCTTTACTCTATTAGACTGTATAGAAAAAAGGTTACTTTTTTACATAATTAGTTTGGGTCTTTTTTCGTCTAGTTCTCTTTGTGATGATCATCTGTTGAAGATTTTTTGAGTAAAATTAGTATAATACCATTGAAAATTTATTGAACCAGATAGGAAGTTAACCAAACTGGCACCATATCATAATTAATAACATTTCGATTCAGTACTATCCATGAGATTTAATTCTACTTCTTTTTTTTTTTGTTTTTTAAAATTAATTTGGAATTATTTGTTAATGACCGATGATGAGAAAACATTGTTGATAAATTCTTGATAGAAGCTGAATTGAAATATTTTCGTTCAATTTGAAATAAAAGAAAATTAACAGAACTGTGATACAAATGTACATCTAATATTTATATCTTCAAAAGAAAATTTTTATCAAAATATAACTACACTATAATTTCACATTTCAAATAAAATTTTTCTTTAATTATTTCTTTTTTAGTACCATTGACAGATACAGTTTACGAATATAGTACTACAAATGGCGTAAATGTTCCAGGATTAACAACGACAGGATGTCGAAGATTGTTTGGAAATGCTGTAGATATAATACCGAATGATAGTTATTGTAGATGTGCAAATTCAAGTTTTGCCTTTTGGGAAAATCAAAGATGCTGTTTGTTACAAATGTGAATGAATTTTTCTTCATATTTAATTATTTTCTATTCTTCAGATTTTCTTGTTGAAACAAATCAATCAATGAGTACTACTTTAGATAATTGTCCACCGACTTCTATAGTAAGTATTTTAATATATCCATAAAAATTTTATCAGTTTTGAATTTTTTAGGTAGGTAATCAAACTTGCAACTGTCCTCGAGGATATCAACCAATTGAATCCAAACGAAGATGTGGTTCGTATTTAATTCAAATAAATATAAACTATTTTATTAAATTATTTCATTTAATTTAGTACGAAAACCAATCTATTCTTCAAATCTTCAAGCTATTGATACAACAAATTTTACAATGTTATGTAATGAGACATATACTAATGATGATTGTGAAGGTTTACATGGTAAAGGTGCTGTTTGTCATAATTTTACTTGTTATTGTGATCGAGCACGAAGTTTTGTTGTTGGTGATCGATGTGGTAAGTTTGAATAAATGATTTTCCTTTTTTTTTTTTTCTTCTTTTCTACAAATCTAATTCGGAATTGTTTTAGAATATTTTTCACAATTTGTATTTCCTGGTTTACATGAACGTTATTCACGAACATGTAATAGACAAGAAGATTGCGGTTCTGATTCAGATCAAAATGGAATTGAATGTGACTTTATAAATAATACTACTGACAAATATAGAGTATGCAAATGTAAATCAGAGTATTTCTTAAATCCAATTGATGGAACATGCGGTATAACAAAAAAAAAAAAAAAATTTTTTTTTCTATAAAATTTATTCTTTGATGTATTTAGTTAAACGTCAATGTTATCCACAATGTTCAGATAATGCAGATTGTGTAAATTACCAATGTATTTGTAGAGTTGGATATTATCGAAATTCTTCTGGACGCTGCGGTAAGTATGATGGATGAAACTTTTTCACTCTCAAGAAAAAATCTTATCAAATAATAAATCGTTCTTGAGATAAATCTTATTTCAAAATCTGATATTTTCACAATGAATTAGTCTTATTGAGAATTAAATTTATACAAATTTTGAACTTGATTATCTTCTCTATAAGTCGACTTACAAGACAAAAGTATTAACATTTGTCAATCGTTAAATAATTCATTATAATGAAAAAACAAATCTAGTATGATTAGAAAGAAATTACACCTAAACAAACAGCAAAGATATCCATAGCACCGCTGATGTCATCGCAGCAGCGATAGCTTCACTTTTATTCAGATTGTAAAACTAGATGAATTTGCATCCAATTTGAGTATCTATAAGTCCAAAAGTTAGAATCGAGATTGAGTCTGATGAACTCAATCCAACTATACTAATTTGGCACAGGGGCGAAAGAGACTTTCGTAGCGTTTCTCGAAAACCATCGCGAAAGCGTCAATTCACCGCGTCACAATAGTCTTGCCCCTTCTAGAACCCCATCGCGGTAGAGGCACTGAGCCTTGTCTCTTCTAGGGCCGCGTCGTAGCAGCGACAGATTTCTAGCTGTAATGGACATCTCTGAGACATCGTAACTACAATAGATTAGAGAATATGAGATTTTCTAGAAACTCATAATAAAATGAAATATACAATAATGTGATTTGAAAAGGAATAGGATCATTGAGAAGAATACAGATCGCAGCGAAAGAGTCGTTCAAAAAAAGGACACTGTGAGATATGACTATAACAAATTTTATTTAAATATTACTTATATGCGTGCAAATCTTAAACTAACCATGTCTTCTTTCGCTAGAGATGTGTCAAAGTAGAGTAAAAAAAGAAAAAGGAAATAGACTTTCTAGGGTAGAGTAAGAGTTAGAAAATCTTGCTCAATCATGGTACATAGTATGAACAAAACCTTACTCCGCATATTTCTATTCTTCGCTTTAAAAAAAATCGAAAGAAGATTAGTTATTTTTATATAAAATTAAAGATTGAACTAAATTTTCTTTGTTACTATGTATAAGATAATTCTTAATGACTATTATGTATCGACAAGAATAATGAAATTTCAATGTAAAGACTAGAAAACTTTTCCCATTAACAAACAAAATAAAATCCTCTAAATTGTTAGATTCATATTTGGACAATCTCCTTAAAAAGTACTTATCCAACTCTAACTTCGATTAAATAAAATTTCACATTGACAAATTAATGTTGATTCATGTATTATTAATTATTTAATTTCTTTTTTTTTTCTTTTCCATTCAAAATAGATCTCATTGGAACACCATTAATACTTCATGAGAAATGTAACTCTACAGTCTGGTCTGGATTAAATTCTATCAATAATGGACTTTTCTGTTCTTCAACTTGTGAACGAACTCAGTGTGCAGACGGTTATCGTGATACTGGTTTACAATGCGGTATACTTTATAAATTTCTTTTTATCGTAAATTTCAATAATAAAATTTATTAATTTTAGCAAGAATTAGTTTTAATGATTATTGTGTACATAGTAAAACTCGATGTACTCAATTTAGCCCTAATTCTCTCTGTCAAGAAGATGATAATAAATGTGCTTGTTTGCCTGGTCATTATGAAACTAATGGTAATATAATCTGTGGTATGTTTTATTCCAATAAAAATAAAAAACATAAAAATGATTATTTTCTATTATGAAAAATTAAATTTTCTAGCTCGAGCTATTAATAGTCCTTGTCTTAATCATGCAGATTGTGGTGATCTTGGTCAATGTCTTGGTAGTCGATGTCGATGTAGACCAGGTAATAGAGAACAAGAAACTTCTGATTTATATGGACGAAGAATTATACGTTGTGTTAATGGTAATGATAGTTTTTAAAATTTTAGTTTTCTTATAATCTCATTTTCATGTTTAGGTGGTGATCAAATACAATTCAGTGTGATTTCATTATTATTCTTTATATTTGTTCGTTTATTCTTTATATAAAAGAAATGATCATATTATTATTATTTTTTTTTTTTTTGCTTAAATTTTTTTTTTTTATCAAAATGATTAATATTCAAAACAAATGAATATTTTGAAAGTTTTCAATTTACCAGCAATTAATTATTGTATTCTACAGTTTTATTTTGTTTTGTCATATTTTTTTTCTGAAACGATTTCCTTTTAAACAAGAAAATAAGTTCTTTTTCTTTTTTTTTTTCTTTGAAATATCAATAACTTCTTTCTTTATGAAAATGTAATAAAACATTTCTTTTCAATAATGATTCATAATAAAATCTAGCAAATAATGTCATTATCTTTTTTTATTTTACTAACAAATGATAGATTGACTTAATTTCTAAGTTATATAAAAGAATAATACAGATCAACATTAGTAGTGAAATGCATGTTAATAAAATCAAAATATTCGAATACAAAACAATTGTCTTATAATTCATAAATTCTCATAGAAATGTTTATGGACATGAAGCCACCACGACGGATTTAGATCGATTCAAAGTTCGTCGCATCTAAGTTTTAGAGATCGGATAATCGTGAGCAGAATTGTAACCGATAAATCACCAGTCTGTATAGACTTTTTCGAGACTTTTCATGTTTTAGTTTTTGTAAATTAGATCATTTTTATCGATGTTAATGACTATTTCTATGAGAGAACATGCATTAGAATATATTTATTAAGTGAATATTCATCAAAATACGTTTGATATATTTTATAAGCTTATTTCGATATCAAGTTTTATTATTGAAATAAAATAAATATAAGAGATGACACAGTACATCTACAGGTGATTGATAATTTCTATGTCTGACGAACATTTAATTAGTGTACAAAGGCTAATATAGAATTTGTAGTCCTACGAAGTTTTCTATTCATCGGTAGATGTCAAACGAGAGGAAACTTATGAAAATGTATGATGGAGAAAAGTTTTTATCGCTGTCTCCATTAGATTAAAATATTAAATGCGATAGAGTTACTTTATTAGTGTGGGAAACTTCAACATCTATATGACATATTATGTTGGAAAACCTAGAAGGCCATTATAGACAGTGGTAGACATATCGACATCTTTGTAACAGTGTATCAATAGGTAATAAGAACATCAGCATGCTTGTCGCGAGTTTTGAAGCAAGCGGAGGAAGATGGATTCAATTTTCTCGTGATATACTTCAATACTCATTGATAAACATGTCTTGCAAAAGCACTATAAAGGTAAAACAGGAACCTTACATAATTTCTATAGTGATTTAGAAGTAGACATAATTAATCGAGTGGTTGATTTGACTGTTATAAGATGAGAAAAGTGAAAAATGACTCATGTTCGTCCAGTCTGAGCGATACCGGTTGCAATTCTTATCATAAGAATGCTTTTGGACTAGGGCCCAGTGTGAACAACTTTTTTGATCACGGTCACAGTGAGCCCAGCCCATGACCGTGAGTCACAACCCTTCTTTCTGGTTCTTTATATTAAAAAAGAAAACTTTCCAGAACGAGCTATTGCAAATTTTCCGTTTTTTTTTACTAAAAGTGATGATTAGGGGGAAGGTAATCTGGCGAAGATTCCCTATCCCTCCACAGTATTGAATCCGTGAATGTTATCGACTGTTTTATTACCTGTGACTGCCGGTGACCAAGCTCCAGTCATAGTCACTGCTTAGAAAAAAATATTGGCCATGGTCACGGTGATCACACCGGATACAAGTTAGGTTCCCAAATGTCCTAACGTTAAGGATTCCGATCTCATCAAAATCTGTCATGATAGCTTCACATCGATGAAATATTTTAAAAATTCTTCTCAAACATTGTCAAAAATATCTTATATTAGCAAGAGACATATAAAACTTTCACAAATAACTTAATGAGAACCTAGACGGTATCAAAAATGTTTATACTATAATAACATATTTAAATTATGAATATATACACGAAAAAAGAAACATGTTTTAACTGTTCATAAGATTGCCAAGAAATAATTTAATATCAATTTTCTTTTAAACTTTTACTATTTAGATTCCATGATCGTTCTATTTTCGAACAATGATAACATACGAGAGATTAGTTAGACTAGAAAGGTTAGATTAGCATTAGTATTAAAATTAACTTTCAGACTTTGATATTGTTTGCATTAGAATTAATTAATATTAAGCTATTAATATTAGATTAGGATTATTTTTAATTATAATACATATACGATCTGCGAGATTATACCTTTGACAGTCCATCTTCAAAAGCTTTCGATAACAGAATAAAGGTTCTTTTGATACCCAGAAGTGCCATTCCCAAACCAGGACAAAATTGTTCAGCCTAGAGAACGTCTCAGGTTAAAGTGTTCGAAATCTAGTCATTAGTAATCTATGTAGCAGAGTTAAAAATAATGTTAATTTAATGTTAACAGTTTAGCATTAATACGACAATCTTAAGCTAGATCAACAACTTTAACTTGGCCTAGTCTGTTAGCCAGGCTGAATAACATATAGACAGATCAGATTAGGTTAACAGATCTGGTGTATTCCTACTACTTTGTATTTGTTAACTTTTAATTGAACTCTAGTTCTTAAGTTTTGAAAATTAAATATTGATGCATCACTTCATTATTCAAGAGTATTTTAACAAATTCATTCGATTGCAGTAACAAATACTTGACCAGAACGTCAATTTAGTGTTGTAGAATCTGCATTGACTGATAGAAGAACTTCTTTAGATCTGAAACAACTTGATAAGAAATTTCCTATTCGGTCTGTTACACAACTTGGTTACTAAATGTTAATGTCCTTGTCTATTATCTATACCCTCCAATTCTGCAGAGCTTTCTTGTATGAACAATATTTATTATGATTGTCTTTTTGCTATGTCATGTAAGAACTTGTTATTAACTTATTTTTATCGAAATAAATAAAATGAACAACTGAAACTGTAATAATACATCAACACTAATTTATACAATTAAATGTATTTGAAAAAAAAACAGAAACATCAATCGGCCTATTTTGACCTGCAGGTTAGAAAAAAATGATCTATTGACAGTTTTGGAATATACACAACATTTTCTGTCTAAACGATCTTTGTTATTTATAATATTCAAATGAAATTGAATTCAAATAAACAGCTATAATACGCTCATGCAACAAACGATGTAGAAACATTACGAAAAACCATTTATGAATAACTATGAAGATAATGACATAATATGATAAAAAGGCAAAGATATGAACTTTTGTTAATGTTGATTATTCACATTTATTACATTTAATTTTAAAGTAATGTCATTCTATTTTAATTTTTTTAATGCATCAATTGATCAATCATTTGTTCGTCTGTTAAATGTAACAATTGTTCTATGCTATGGTTTTTGTTCTTTTACTATGTAAGAAATTATATTAATGAATATCTGCATTCTATCAAATGATATAAGATAATAAAAATCATTTTCTTTTTCTATTATTTTTTGATTTGAAACATTTGAACAGACTCATTCAGTACGAATGTCGACAAATGAACGTCATGTAAAAGCTATTTTTATTAAGGTTATCAAAGACATTTGTAAAAATAATTATTGAGCATTCGAAGAATTATTAAAACAATCTGTGCATTTTTTTTTATAAGCAACACTTAGATATATAGAGTATAATATTGAATTAGTATTATTAATAAATAGAGAAGTAGACTTTAAAAAAAATATTATATATTTTAATAGAAGAATTATGTTTTCTCTTTGAAGATACAATATGCCAATCGATAAAATAGATAATCTAAGTCGAAAAATAGCTTTTATTGCAGTTATTTTTGGAGTAATAGCTTTAGTATTTGTTTGTGTTGGTATTAGTACACCAAATTGGGAATCATCTTATACAAATACAGGTGTTGCATCATATTCTTTATCAGGTACGGCAAATTTTTTCTACACTTGCCATTTTATCAATGGTTCATACAATAATTGCACAACTCGTACGGGTAATCTTATTGGTTATCCAAGATATTCATCATCATATTCATGGATGACTGATTATTATGTACGTATACAAAATGCAGCTGGTTTATGTATTGTTGGTATTCTCTTTCTCGGTTTTGGTACAATAATGACATTAATTATGGCAATTATTCCATTATCAACATGGATTAATTTAATTCCATCTATATCATTATTTTTTGCTTGTTTATTTATGCTTGCTGGTATGGCTGAAGGTTCACGTTATTTATTGTATAATAATTATTCAGCTAATTTGTATCAAACAGGTCATCTATTTACTATGTTGACTTTATTTTTAACTGCTTTTACTACAGGTCGTATTCATTTTTCTCGTATGAAAGAAAAAGCAGTTAATACTATTGCTCGTAAATAATTTTCTATAAAACTTAATTTTAATTTCTTCATTATATATTTATCTTTAATTTATTATTGTGTGTGTGTGTATTGTAATCTTGTATTTTGACTTTAGTTTTCAAATAAATCATAAATCTAATTTTGTATTTTAAATTACAAATGAATGATAGACTATTCTAATTCATCATATATATGTTAGTGCCCAATCTAAGCTTCGTCCGAAAATTTCAGGTGAATTTCATCTTAACTTAGGGCAAGGATGGATTCAAAGGTTAGTATGGACAATCTTGAATCAACTAATACAATATCTAATCATAAGCACATCATAAAAAAAAAGTCAACGACGAGAGCGGATGTGGACGCAGCTGTTCTCTTTGCTTACATCTACGATCGAGATACAAATTTACTTTTTTTACTTTTTTCAAAGTTTCTTTTAACATAAACAGCAATTCAATTACATCCACATGTTTCTTTCAAGGTTGGTCGTATTAACTTTTTAATCCGTCATTGTCTTAGGTCAATCTAAGATTCACCGAAAATTTTCAGACAAATCTTAGACTGGACGCGTCCAATATGAGATTCTAGACTAAACTAGGTGGATCTAAAGTTGAACACTAATATGTATATCTGTATGAAATCTGATTTTTTTTTGTTACTCTTTAATGTAGGAAAATACTGATCGATATTTTGTTGAGAAGTATTTTTCTTCTAAGAGAAATAAATCAATTGATATTAAGATAATTGAATTATACCTGACGCTTTCAAAAAGCTTTCGAATTGATTTTATTTAAAAATAACAAGAAACGCTGTTGCATTAGTATTCTTACCTATACTTAGTTCATACTATTCTTTATCTATAGATATGATAAGCTCTGCTGCATGAAACATATATGAAAAAGTAGAAATATATTTTAGACCGCTCTCTTAATAGGTATAAAGGTGTGGGAGCAGCTTATGTTGATTGATTCTACATCGCATTTCAAATGTACCATGTAAAGTATTTCGCATGATCAATCAAATATGATTAAAGTCAGTTCACGAAAACATGACATTCTCTAACATGATATCAATGATGTGTTGATCATATGAAGAACAAACATTAATAGTTCTTTATTCGCGCTTGAAACAACGAATTCATTCAAATATCGTAGTATATATAGTAGAGTATTAGTACTGTAAACTGTTACCATATATTCATAAATTTTGAATGACAGCTATGCTTTCAAAACATACAACTTTGTTTAAGTTTTAAATTTTGTTTCAATGTATAAACAGTGATCTAAAATATATTTCTATATTTTCATATATATATGTTACAGTTGACATGGGAATTCAGTTGAGTTTGGAATGCAT